CTCCTCAACAGCACAACACAACAAGCCCCTGCAACAAGCACACACACAGCCACAAGGAGAGACACAACTACCACCCATCATGCCCCCACTTTCAGCTTCATGTGAACTGCTCAAAGAGCTTCACAAGAAAGAGTTTAATTGGGTTACAACAGAGATTCGAATTCAGGTTGCAACTTCCCTGGAGGATGACACCACTCATACTATTAATCTGGCGTCCACCCTTGGCTATAGTGTGAATAATCCAAAACAACCAGACGACAGCACAGTCTATTGGCTGCCCAAAGAATTCAACCAGAACTCAAGCATATGGCGCGAAACTATGCTTGGCCCACATTTTGTCAAAGCATGTCGTCAGCAAGGAGTCCTTATAGTGATGAAAGGGTATGAGAAAAAAAGTCACAACATCAAATTTGTATGTGCTCGTTTTAGATACCACAAAAACGTGTCTACTGGTATTGCTGCTGTTTCAAATTCCACCAAGCAATCACGACGCAGCAAAAAGAAAATTGAGGATCATATAGTACCGTGTTGTACTGTCTGGTTTCTTGCTCCAGTGTGGGAAGATCAGTCAAACCATCCAATTCATCAGAGTACCGCAATTCTTTGTCATCACCAAGGATTACCAAATCAAATCTTTGTTGAATGATAGTTGGAAGTTCATCTGGGACAGTCTCCATTGCTTGTTTCAAAGTATTGTAGAATGAAAAAGCAACACGCTTTGCTCCAAGACGTTTTTTCAATACAGCTCCCAGAACCAAGTAGAGACTACTTGAAATCACATAGCTCGGAACGTCGTTGTTTCCAGGAAGTTGAGTGATATTGTCTGCATTGATAAGGGGAATCTTGTCCAAACAACCAATAACCGTTGGAAAGAAGTCATTTTGGAAATAAATATTGTCGTGATATTCCTGGTTGAACAAGCGTCCGTAATGCGTAGAAGGGTCGACCGTCATAGGCTTGGTGCTCTTGGTAGGGATCAGAATGAAAATGCATAGACCTGTAGATGATGTGATATTTTCTTGTTTCCGCTTTCTGTCATGCTGTTTTGTGTGCTCACGTTGCTTCTCTTTCTTCTTTCTTCGGAGTCAACAACTGCTCCTATGACATGGTCAATCTCAGACCCAAGCTCAGACTCAATCAAATCATCCTCGCCAACACTATTGTTGGTGTTGGTAGTGTTGGTATTGTTGGATGCACCATTGGCCTGTCCTTGTAAGAGTGGAAGCTCATGGTTGTGATTTGTTTCCATCCTTAACAGTTTTTATATTGACATATCTCAGAGCCAGAGTTTTCCCAGTGCCTTTGAAAAAATGAAATCTGACAGATTATGAGCTGAGAGAAGCTGCCACGAAAAGCATCACTTAGGCTAAGTGATTCACTTAGGCTAAGTGATCCACTTAGCCTAAGTAATTCACTTAGGCTAAGTGAATCAAATGTAACTGACTACCTGGTAAATCAAATAAGACTGAATTTCACTTAGGCTAAGTGGTTCACTTAGCCTAAGTAAATCAAATTGAATCACTTAGCCTAAGTGAAAATTCAATCACTTAGCCTAAGTGAAAATTTGTGAGGGACAAATCACGCTACCCACCTGTAGTACTGTACAGGTACAGCTTTCTGCCTGATTGAATGATCAATAATTCGTCTAGCCAGAGAGCTATGACAGTTTTAGAACAGCAGATGAGGTTATGGTTTATGGTGCATTTAATTTTGATAAAGATTTTATTTTACATGTAATGTGTGTTCCCACAGAATGTTGAAAGGTGAAAGGGTGGAAGGTGAAAGGTGGGCACTTCGGGATTTGGGATTTGGGAGCTGCTTTGGGCTTTGGGGTGACAGATCCGAGAGAGAAAGTTTCTTGAACGATTGTCCGATTTGCCCTTCGCACTTTGCACCCTTTTCAATCACGAGACCCGACCAAGATTTAAAGATAGGGTAAGAGCGACTGGTCATTTGGCCATCAAGAAGAGTGAATAGAAGAATTAGAGCGTTTGTAAGAAATACAAAGTGCCTGCAGAAGGCTGCATTTTTAAAAGCTGTCAGTGTCTTTTCGTCAATTTAGCAACCGAGACCGAGAGCTAATCGAGTGTGCGTGCTCAAGAGCGGATGCAAGTTGGTCAATGTCGTCACATTGCAGTCCGCAAGCTCGAACTAGCCAAGCCAACGTTTGCTTCGAAAAGCTTGGTTGTATGTTGTATTAGTATGCTTCACTGCTCAGCACCGCAGCAGTGTACCGGTACCGCTTCCATTGCTTCCAATCTACTAGCCCGCCCGTAGGTTGGTGGACCTCGTCCTGTCATTTGGATTAAAAGACTCGATATATACTCAGGAACCGCGAACACCGAGAAGAGAGTGACAGCCAACATGTCGAGCAACAGCACTGACGATTCGGATGATGAAGCCTTTGCAATGCGTCAAGCTGTTGCAGCAGCACTGTTTCCTGAAGCTGAAGATGAAAGTTTGAAGAAGAAGAACGAACTTGAAGGAGCCGCAACCTGCGGGGACTCCCCGCAGCAAGAAAGTACTACTACGTCTTCGGCAGGTCCGCAGAGCCAGGAAGAGCACTTGACTGTCAATGCGGGCGGGAAGCATGAACCTTCAAAGCCTCTTACCTGTGGCACCAAGCAGTCGATTGCACCCATGAATGCTGGACCCTCTGAAACGAGACAGTGTGAAGGAACACAGGGCAGCTCGAAGCATGGTGAGGTTGCCGGCAGTGACAAAGATGTGGAGACTATGGACCAAGAAAACGATGAGGGTCATCTCCGTCTTGCCATAGGATTGGTTCCAGGAGCCTACCATGTGTCTCATCCTGATGCGACAGGGCAGGATGATTGGTGGCAAGACGCTGAAGATGCTGAAAGCAACAACGAGACCCAAGAAGTGCAAGACCCTGCAAGCTCAGGGGGGCAGATAGTCTTGACCGGAACTCTCGTCCGTGAAATGAGCAATCAGAACTTGGCCGCCCAAGATGAAGAGCTCGGCGGTCTCCATGCCAGTGAAGAGCCGATTGATGGTGTCAAAGAACAGACTCCTACGCAAGAACGTCGTCGGTTTATCGTTGCTATGACTTGCATTCTCATCTTAATGCTCGTCATTCTGATCATGATTCTGACCCTTGCCGGAGTATTTCAATCAGGCTCACCCTTTGACCAGGAAGCGTCTCCCATTGCCAGCAGCGTGGCTTCTGGCAATGCCACCACATCACCTATCCAAGGAAGTGTGCCAGGACACATCAATGCTACCGAAGACAACGGCAAGATGACCACAATCGAGCAAATTCAAAAGCAAGGATACCTGCCTTGTGCCTATCAAGAGTTCATGGGAATCATGTATAAGGATAAGAGTGGCAAAGTTGTTGGGTTTGCTGCAGCATACGTAAGTTTTCATTCCCCATGTAGTGCATGAACCTGGAGTTCTGTCTTCCCTTCTTTTGCTCGCGCAATAACTCACTTGGTCGAGTAGTACTACGCCGTTGCGGCTGCGTTGGGAGTGGAAGTCAAGTTTTTTCCCAAGGACGAGCCCAATGGAATGTCTGAGCTTTTCTGGACCAGATCTCATACCATGGAGCTTCAAGTCAAGGAGGTAAGTCTTTGGTCCCTTTGTTGTCGTAGGCGAGCAAAATGCAGTGTTCCCTGACATGCCTGTTTTGTGCTATAGTCACTCTCCTTCACCACACCAATATCGTATGCTGGGCTTCAAATGGCTGGTGATCCCACAATGATTGAGCACTGTGTAGACAAGGGCCTGAGACACACCGGGAACTGTTCCACTCTGCGGGTGTGCGTGGATTCAGTTGATTCTGAATCATCACACCTTGATACTCTAAGCAAATTGCTGCCACAGAGACTCATTATTGGAATCAACTTAATCAACGGTTCTTCAGCCTTCACTGGCCTAGTTGAAGGTGTTTGCAATGTGGTGGCAAGGGACAGCTTCTTTGTGGCTCCCATGTTTGCCCAGATATCAGGTTACGATGGACACTATGCCATCAGTGATACTTTCTTCTCAAGGCAACCGGTTGCCTTCGTCACTTCCAGCAAAGACCCTGAGTTCTCTAGCTTGGTGAATGGTGTTGTGGAAGCTCTCTATGTGGCAGAACAGCTAACATATCAAAGAAACAGCAGACAAGTTCCCTTTGACAATGGCATTTGGCCCTGACCAACAGGACACTTTCCAAAAAGTTATTCGCGAAGTTGGAAACTATGCTGATGTCTCTGCTTTCCTTGAAAATCTAATGCCACGGGCAACCCTCAACAATGTCAATGGAGGTGAGACTGGATTGATTTTCTCTCACCCTTTTGGCGAATCATATGAAACAAGAGGAGCACCTCTTGGGCCTACCCTTGAGAGTGTCCTGGAAAGAGGCGTCCTCAGGTGTGGCATCAGAACCAACAGGAGCGGTTTTGCCCGTGGGGAAGGACCCACCTACACTGGATTAGATGTTGATTACTGCCATGCTCTTGCTGCTGGTTTGTTTATGGGGGACTCCAATGCAATATCCTTCATTGAGCTGGTGGATACTGTTGATGGATTCCGAGGGTTGGCAGATGGAAGCCTGGATGTTTTTGCAGGGGCACCATGGACATTCGAAAATGATTTCAAGGAGCCATCTACTGGTCTAGGCTTTGCCTTTTCACAAGCATACTTCTATGGCTACAGTGAAGCTGAAGACAGCCTTTGTCTGGCAACCATGCAAGATGATCATGATTGGAGCTCTTTTGTGTACTGGACCGTGGCAGCAACAGTTCACGCAGAGGAGATGTTGTTGAATAAGACAAGCTCAAATCAAATGCCAATGGTGGGGCTCTTTGGATCCAGCCACCAGCGCATGTTCAGGGATGCAATTCTAGCAGTTGGCAGTTATGCTGACATGTATGAAAGGAATTTGCAAGCCATTGTCCCTCGTGAGGGACGAAACTTCCTTAACAAAGGATCTCATTCTGGGCCTCAGCATTATGCTCCTGTCGATGGATTCTGAAGCATTGCAGGCTGCAGGACCTTCATGTTTCCGCACTTCCTGGAAGTGTTGAATGAGAGTGTTCAAAACGGCATTGTTTAGCTCGTTGGATCACTTGCATCCTCAACGAAAATTATGTGCAGAGCTGAAATATCCTTTTGGTCCAATCAAGTGGTGGTTGTGACTTCTATAACATACTAGTAACGTGTACCAAATCCAATGCTTTTGCTTCGCTGATACTTTGGGTCCTTCGTCGTGGCATGCTCTGAGTAGCTACATGTAGCAGCAGATTATTGCCTAGCCACTGGTTAGTACTAGTTTTGCAAAGACAGACTGGGCTTATCTTAGGGGATTAGAAGGCGAAACTTGGCGCGGTATGGCTGCAAGGCTCCATTGGAGGACATTGGATCGCTGCACAAAGTAAAAACAGCGAATGGACCGATCTAGTGGAACCCAGTGTACCTATGAAGCTCTTCGGGAGGGACCGAGTGATCTAAAACATCATAGAGTACTAGTACTCGCAGACTATTTTATGGGGTATTAGCATTGAGTCTTGGGGCTTTGACATCGGCAAGGCATTCGCGTGTAAGGGCTCGAGCTGACACAATAGTCGTGGTGGTACCGCTATCCGGTACCAAATACCGACGCGTTACATGCTCCTTTTACGCCGTCCATTGCAACCAACAACTCGTACGGTACCACTGAATACATGGCTGATCATGTACTAAAGAGTACTTAGACTCGACTTGACTCGACTCTGACTGTCACTCGAGGCTTGGGGATGCACAATACGGTAGCTGCTACAGTACTACCCCCGCTACATACATGTACGGTTCGGTAGCGGTAGCGTTATGACTGACTGGCTGATGACGAGACGACAAGACTAAAGAATGGTCAATGGCCAAAAGGCGCAATGGTGAACCTTTGAACCTTTATCTAGACTACACCTTACTGAGTGTTTTGTATTGAAGCCCTATTACTGGCTCATGACCCTTCAAGAGAAGCAATGGCCGTGTGAACCTGAAACTTGGGTCTGTGCACTGTGCAGTGTTCCTGGCCCGGCCTAATTAATTTTGCTGCTTGGAACTTTTCTCTCTTGACACGGGCTTTGTTCGTACGGTACTGTATCCTGTGGTAGATCGTGGGGCTTTCGGGAAGAGGGTCCGAAACCCGAAACAGAAAGGCCGCCCGCTGCCCGATACTGAGTACGTCTACACACCTGTGGGAGCGACTGGCCATACGAAGAAGCCGAGGTTTTGTTAGAAGTACTAATGCCTTTAAAGCAGGGCTGTTGGCTGTTGACTGCTTTGAAGTGGACAGTGGTCGCCTTTAAATGCCTTCGGCAGCATTCGAGTTCTTTTCATCCATTTAGCAACCGAGTTTGTGTGCTCAAAATCGGAGATGATGAGAAGCCATGCATGTTGAAACGTTCCCAACCCTGTCTGTCGCGTCCTCAGGCAAGTTCAAACGGTTCGAACCAGCAAACCTTGGCTTCGAAAAGGATTTGCACATGCTTCACTGCTCAGTACTCAGACAATACTCGTAAGTACCATGTGAGCAAGCTACTCGAGTAGACTAGCGGAAAAGATACAATTATTGTCCAATTTGGCCACTCGGATATTCTGTGTCCTCTCATGTGTTGCAGGGTTGCATGATCCAGCCATCAGCCAGCGGCCTTCCAGAGGTCCCAGCACAAATCAAAGAGAGCTCCTAGAACTAGAATCGAGAGCAGGAACCTGTACGTAGAGTGTACCGGCACCCCTTCCAATCTCGATCGCCCGTACATGTTGTTTGGTGGCACATAGGGCACACATTTGATGAATATTCAGTAATTAGGCACCGCGAACAACCGAGAAGAGAGTCAACATGTCGAGCAACAGCACGGATGATTCGAATGATGAATCCTTTGCAATGCGTCAAGCTGTTGCAGCAGCACTGTTTCCTGACGAAGACGAAGACACTGCATTGAAGAAGAAGAAAGCACTTGAAAGAGCCGCAACCTGCAAGTCCCTGCAGCAAGAAAGTACGTCTTTTGCAGGTCCGCAGAGCCAGGAAAAGCACTTGACGGTTAGTGCGAGTACGTCATCTGCAAATCAGGACGGGAAGCATGAACCTTCAAAGCATCCCACCTGTGGCACCAATCAGTCGATTGTACCGGTAGGTGCGTATGCTGGACCCTCTGAAACGAGCAAGTGTGAAGGAACACAGGGCAACTCGAGGCATGTTGAGTGTGCCGGCAGTGACAAATGTGTGCACGTGGAGACTATGGACCAAGAAGAGAGTGAGGGTCAACCCCGTCTTGCCATAGGCTTGGTCGTTCCAGGAGCCTACCATGTGTCTCATCCTGATGCTATTAGGCATGATGATTGGTGGCAAGACGCTGAAGATGCCGAAAGCAACAATGAGACCCCAGAGGTGCAAGACCCTGCAAGCTTAGAGGGGCAGATTGTCTTGGCTGGGACTCTCGTCCATGAAACGAGCAATCAGACCTTGACCACCCAAGATGAAGAGCTTGGTGTTCTCCATGCCAGTGAAGAGCTGATTGATGGTGTCAAAGAAGAGACATCTACGCAAGAACGTCATCGGTCTATCGTTGCTATGACTTGCATTTTCATCTTAGTGCTCGTCATTCTGATCATGATTCTAACCCTCGCCGGAGCACTTCAATCAGGCTCACCCTTTGACCAGGAAGCTTCTGGCAATGCCAGCAGTGTGGCTTCTGACAATGCCACCACAGCACCTATCCAAGGAAGTGTGCCAGGACACATCAATGCTACCGAAGACAACGGCAAGATGACCACAATCGAGCAAATTCAAAAACAAGGATACCTGCCTTGTGCCTATCAAGAGTTCATGGGAGTCATGTATAAGGATAAGAGTGGCAAAGCTGTTGGGTTTGCTGCAGCATACGTAAGTTTTCATTCCCCATGTAGTGCATGAACCTGGAGTTCTGTCTTCCCTTCTTTTGCTCGCGCAATAACTCACTTGGTCGAGTAGTACTACGCCGTTGCGGCTGCGTTGGGAGTGGAAGTCAAGTTTTTTCCCAAGGACGAGCCCAATGGAATGTCTGAGCTTTTCTGGACCAGATCTCATACCATGGAGCTTCAAGTCAAGGAGGTAAGTCTTTGGTCCCTTTGTTGTTGTAGGTGGGCAAAATGCAGTGTGCCCTGACATGCCTGTTTTGTGCTATAGTCACTCTCCTTCACCACACCAATATCGTATGCTGGGCTTCAAATGGCTGGCGATCCCACAATGATTGAGCACTGTGTAGACAAGGGCCTGAGACACACCGGGAACTGTCCACTCTGCGGGTGTGCGTGGATTTGTTGATCTGAATCATCACACCTTGATCTCTACACAATTGCTGCCACAGAGATACATTATTGGAATTATTATGAAGGTTCCACAGCCTTCACTGGCCTAGTTGAAGGTGTTTGCAATGTGGTGGCAAGGGACAGCTTCTTTGTGGCTCCCATGTTTGCCCAGATATCAGGTTACGATGGACCCTATGCCATCAGTGATACATTCTTCTCAAGGGAACCGGTTGCCTTTGCTACTTCCAGCAAAGACCCTGAGTTCTCTAGCTTGGTGAATGGTGTTGTGGAAGCTCTCTACGTGGCCGAACAGCTCAACATATCGAAAGAAACAGCAGACAAGTTCCCTCTGACAACAGCATTTGGCCCTGACCAACAAGACACTTTCCAAAAAGTTATTCGCGAAGTTGGAAACTATGCTGACGTCTATGCTTTCCTTGAAAAGCTAATGCCGCGGGCAACCCTCAACAATGTCAATGGAGGTGAGACTGGATTGATGTTCTCTCACCCTTTTGGCGAATCATATGAAACAAGAGGAGCACCTCTTGGGCCTACCCTTGAGAGTGTCCTGGAAAGAGGCGTCCTCAGGTGTGGCATCAGAACCAACAGGAGCGGTTTTGCCCGTGGGGAAGGACCCACCTACACTGGATTAGATGTTGATTACTGCCATGCTCTTGCTGCTGGTTTGTTTATGGGGGACTCCGATGCAATATCCTTTGTTGAGCTGGTGGATACTGTTGATGGATTCCGAGGGTTGGCAGATGGAAGCCTGGATGTTTTTGCAGGGGCACCATGGACATTCGAAAATGATTTCAAGGAGCCATCTACTGGTCTAGGCTTTGCCTTTTCACAAGCATACTTCTATGGCTACAGTGAAGCTGAAGACAGCATTTGTCTGGCAACCATGCAAGATGATCATGATTGGAGCTCTTTTGTGTACTGGACCGTGGCAGCAACAGTTCATGCTGAGGAGATGTTGTTGAATAAGACAACCTCAAATCAAATGCCAATGGTGGGGCTCTTTGGATCCAGCCACCAGCGCATGTTCAGGGATGCAATTCTAGCGGTTGGCAGTTATGCTGACATGTATGAAAGGAACTTGCAAGCCGTTGTCCCTCGTGAGGGACGAAACTTCCTTAATAAAGGATCTCACGCTGGGCCTCAGCACTATGCTCCTGTCGATGGATTCTGAAGCATTGCAGGCTGGACGAGCTTCATTGTTTCAAGTGCTGAATCTCAATCGTATCTTTTCTACACTATGTATTGCTTCCTTGCTTGTTTTCAGATACTTTGGAACAGTGCAGTTGCGAACTTGCTCCAGTTCTACACGGTCCTCAAACGTAACCTAATTCATTTGTATATTTCATCCGAGCACTATCAATAGACTGAAGGCTGGTGCAGTGTAGACCTAGCGAGTTATTAGAAGATGATAAAAGGTCCAATGTCACTCTCGTTTGTATGCACGGATTATTAGCAACGGCACTCAGGTTGAGTGCCATAATGTGTGAATACCTGATGGGCTGGTAAAATAATGCATGGAATGCATTGAATTGCATGCACGCCGAGTTTCAACCGGCAAATTGTTATAGAAAAGATCAAGCAGAATCATCCCGAGCTACTTTTGCCGTGCCAAAGTCATTCCTAACATGGCACCCGCAGCCACCAACATGGCTCCTGCTCCCAACAACGCTGTAGTCGACATGTCAGCAGACTTGCGACCATCGCTGGTGTCGATAGTGGTACTGCTCGTGACAGGAATTTCCAATGAAACTTGGGGCAATTCGGGCAAGGAGGGTAGAATGTCGCGTCCAATAGTTTCCACTGTTTTCTTGACCAATGCCTGTACCTGCTTGGCCCGTTGCTGTACTGCTTCCAAGACTTCTGCGTGGTTGGCCACAGCCCCATGATCCGACTCATCTTCATCTCCCGCCATGACGACCTTGTTGGTAATGAGAGACAAACAAAGGATTTGCATATTGCAATGATGGGCGGCCACAATTTCGGGCACGGTAGACATGCCCACGGCGTCTCCTCCGAGCGATCTCAAAAATCGACATTCGGCCCTGCTCTCGTACATTGGCCCCGACACAAAGCAGTAGGTGCCATGTGGTTCCACAAAGTTAAACTTGAGTTCTTTGGCGGCATTGAGGGCACATCGACGAAGGCTGATCGGGTAGGCATTACTGGTAGCTGGAAATCGAGGTCCAAGTTCCGGGTCATTGGCTCCTACCAAAGGGTTCTTCATTTATACAAAAGATTAACGATAAAAGAATAGACAGCCAGATAGAAATTCAAACAAAAATAAACGTTTTGAGTCAGCTTATCCATACATCATACACATACTCTCCATTTTCAATTTTTGCGACAAAAACTCACATTTCCTGCCAACTGAGGAATGGCCAAATGATCCGAGACACAGACGACATTGCCGACTTTGTAATTGCTGTTGAGTCCTCCAGCCGCATTGGTGACGATGACCACCTTGACAGCGAGACATCTCATGACGTATACGGGCAATACAACCGTCTTCATGGGATGTCCTTCGTACGAGTGGAATCTTCCTCGAAAGCACATGGCGGGGACACCACTGAGGCATCCAAAGACGACTTCACCCTTGTGTCCTGCCACGGTACAGTGCGCTGGGAATCCAGGAATATCTCCATACTGGACGCGCAATTTTTTGCCTTCCAATGTGTCCGAGAGTCCTGACAACCCCGAACCGCAAATGACTCCCAGAACCGGCAGTGCGATGCCTTCCTCCTTCAATCGATGGAGCAGGTAGGAAGCGGCGCGGCGGTAAGGAATGAATGATTCGTCCATGGTCAAAAACAATTCAGGACGGCACATGTATGTATCAATATAACACTGAGTTACTTTGGATTCTAAATCACTGTAATGATGATGAAACGAGGCGAAACAACACAGGTGAAGATGATTGCGTTCTTCGACTTGTGATTTGTGATCCTACCGTATCATTGGGCTTGATGCGTGGGAATGCTGTCTTTGTTCTTCCTTTGTTGAAGTTCTGATTCCGAGCTTCCGACGTCACTCAGCTGTGTCTATACTATAACTATAATAGTAGCTTTGAAAGCTTAAATAGAATTAATTCTATCCCTTTACAAGTACAAATGTTAGGGCTAAAGATAAATCTTCACTTCAACAATGATTGGCTCGGAAGGTTCTCTTTCCAGGAACCTTCCAGCCACACAAAACCAACAAAATGGCGAACCCTGCCTCCGACAAACATCACGACGACCACATCACACAAGATTTCGCAATTATTCAACGAGAAACGCAGTACAACACCAAGAAGGACCTGCTGGAGAACCAAAGGTCATATCCCAAGAAGTAACCACAAGAGTTTCTGTATCATATTGGATTGATCAGGATGTTTGCAAGATATCATTACTTGGCTCTATTGGCACTGGCGCTGTCAAAGCTGCAGGAATCTCAAGCCAGCAGCAGCTACGACAACAATAATTCCAATTCAGCAGCACAGCAGCCAGATATCACAGCCTTTGCGTTTGTACGGAAAACGGCGAGTGAGACTGCCGCCGATGATGCTCCCAATGACAGCCACCAAGACTTCCCGTCCAGAAACAGCGACGAATCGTCGGAAGATTCATCCACTACAGTGTCCAGTTCACTCTTGTACGATGGAGGCTGCGTAGTGTCAGCAGAGGCCCTCATGTGTACAGGAGGCGATGATGGGTACGACAGCTCCATATTTTCATTAATGGACTTTGGGGCTGATGATTATTCCGACGAGGAGGAAAGCGACGACGAGGATGACGACGATGATGATGGACATTCTTCCATGCTCTCGAATGCGTCTCTAAGACGATCCAAGGTGGCGGCTGGATACAATGCTCCTCCACCACCAAGAGATTCACAATCTACAAAATACGAGGATACCAGCAGTAGTCAAGTCTCATGGTCACAACTGAACAATCTGCAGAGGATGCAAAGTTATGAGATTCCTTTTCAAGCCACTACGACTGCCTTCTACAACGGTAACACTCTCTCGCTTAGAGGTGGGGCTGCTGCAGTCTCATGGTCACTGAAACATTATCAGACGAAGCAAAGTTATACCATTCCGTTTCCTACTACCACACCTGCTTTCGTCAACAGCGGGGCTCTTTTGCTCAGAGGAGGAGCTGCTGCTTCAAGTGTGGGATCCGAGTTTGCCAAAAAGCTTCTGGTCACAGCCCTGGTGACGCTCGTCTACGAAGCCCTATGTGGTCACATTCTCGAGTTTATCAAAATCTACATGCAAACATCACCCGATGGAACTTCCTACGGAACGGTCCTGCGACAAATCACTGCGGAAAAGGGCATTGGTGGTCTCTGGGATGGATTCATTCCCTGGGGAGTTGTGCAATCCTTCTTTAAAGGATCCGTCTTTGGCCTCGCCCATGCCATGGCATCTTCTTGCCTAGTACCTCTTGCGGAAAGTGGAACGATTCCCATGCAACTAGCAATGACCTGCGCGGGCGGTATTGCTGGTGGATTTCAGGGATTTGTCTTGTCGCCTACCTTGCTACTCAAGACGCGAGTCATGACAAACCCCGTATTTCGAGAAAAGATGAGTCTATGGAAAACCACATGGTTGAGTGCTACCACTGGCTATGATGTCGTTGCTTCCGAGGGCGTGGGAGCGCTTATGAAGGGGAGCAGCGTCTTTGCGACCAAACGTGTCTTTGACTGGGCCACTCGATACTACTTTTCAGATTTGTTCGAGACGATGGCTCTCAGTTACAAAGGGGGGGCTGCCCTCACCGTGCAAGATAAGATTGCCTGTTCACTGCTGGGAGGAACTGCCAGCACGTTTTGCACACTACCACTCGATGTTCTCGTCGCAAAGATTCAAGATGCCAAAAAAGCAGGAGTCAGTGTTTCGGCTCTCAAACTGTTCCAAGACGAGTTGAAGGAAAAGGGTTGGGCTGGACTAAAGAAGTCATACATGAAGGGCTTTGAGGCTCGACTTGCTCACGTCGCCTTCACTACTGTAGCCATCAAGACCGGCACTCCCATCGCATACAACCTGCTGTTCCCAGCCAAACTTGAGGCGGCAACTGCAAGCTAAAACACCATATCCATCGAAAGATTCCTATTTCCATAACAGTGGGTACCCACTCTGGGCGCCATTCTTTTGTTGGAGTAAAGGACACTATTTGCATGCGGTGCGAAGCAATTCCATAGTTCACAAACCTGTCTTACTAAACTATATGACCTAAATCAGTCCATACTATATTCAGCAACGAATGGCGCATCCTTCAGCTTAGAAACCGCCTGCTTTTCGGGCTGCCATGAGCTCACGCTTACTGGGCGGAACAACACTAGCCGGAAGCTCCGCAGGGATGGGGCGTCCTTTTTGAATGACAGCATCGCAGAGGAACATGGCAACGACATATTCGTCGTGGTCAAACAACCCGTCACGATCGATATCGCTCAAGTTCCAGATCTGGCGCAGCTGATCCTTTTCGAGTCCGGTCTTCACGAGCACGTCACGTGCTTTCTTGGTTGACAGAAAGCCACCTTCTGGACCTTGGGCTTCAAAGCTTGCAAGCAGTCGGTCCGCCGAATCTTGAAGAGCCCTTTAAAAGACAAAAAGATAACAGTGTATTGTTAGTTGGAGCAAGTGAAAGCCTTGGATAGCGGAGCCAGGAAGCGTGAAAAAAGAGCTTACCAGTAATGATCTTGATCCTCCTCCGAATAGCCGAATGGATTGTTGTCGATTGCATCCGCTTTCTTCCCGAACTTGGCATTCATTGTGGGTACAGGGACATTTGACGAGTTAGGGTTTCCGGACCCCATCTTGGCACGAAGGGTTTCCGGCGAATCCCTCTCGCTGGGCAGTTGCTGTTTAATAAGATCACAGCATGAAATCAAGTAAGTAAGAAAAGGAATGGCGAGTGCAGCAGCACCACCTGATGAAGCTGTTCTTCCGAACGTACCTCCATAAGCTTGGGAATCTCCACGTTCAGGGCGTGGTCCAATTCCTCCATCGATTTCTTTGACAAGGTGGAAAACTCGGCAAACTTCACTTCCTTGAGCTTCTCTGAAAACATGTTGATATCCTGCTAGATTGAAGTGAGGCAATGGAGTTAACCTTGTGGTGTGGGGTCTGTCACGCAAACGAAGGTTATCATAAACACATACCGGGAAGTCACCAGGGGCAAGGTTGTACTGTTTGAGGATGGTTCGGAACACGTTGGGCAGGTCATTGATCAACTTTTGCTGCTTCTTTTCCTTTCCCATCAGCGAGGGCATTTGCCCCTTCAGGTAGCCAATGCTGAAAATGAAAACGGTATTAGTAGTTGTCAGAGGCGTGTACTTGTGATCTGAATTCAAAATGGCAACCGTATGAATGTGACGCGCTTACATGTGGGCCAGAGTCTTCACCTTTCGGATGCGCTTGACCAGTTCGTTGATCTTTCTCACAGCAGATTGCCGGGGCAGGATGGCCAAGTCCTTCATGAGATCCTTCTCTTCCCTTTCAAAGAGCTCAGCGTTATCAAGGTTTTGAAGTGGTTCTTGCCAGAATGAACCGACGTAGACACGACAAACTTCTGGGGATGTCATGGTCTTTCCCAAACTCCACAGCAATGCCCCGTACACTCTCATAAGCTGTTGTCGATCGATTTGGTCTGCCTTGTTCAAGATGCATCGAATCTTATCTTCGTGTCCCTTCAACACATCAATAGCACCCTTCAATTCATCGGAAATATCCAATTTGTGTGCATCAAAAAGGAGGATAATCAAGTCGGCCCTCTACGAATAGATGCACGAGAAGAGGTCAGTCGCTCACAAAATTGTCTTAAAAACACAATTTTTAAAAAAAGTGATCTTACCTCTGCGAACCAAGCTACAACCTTGGTGAAGTCGTAACCTCGATTCGTTCTCTGTTTCTCTCCAGACAAAATTCCAGGCGTATCAATCAGGGTAACACTTCGGAGGACACTACTAGGGAGCTGACTTCCTTCAAAACGGCTCAAAAATGACACACCAAAACGTTCCAATCCTCGAAAAGGTAAATCTGGATGCACCGACAAGGCATTTCCAGGAATAGTCCTTTCCTCAGGACCATTGATTAGTACTATTGAAGTACAAATAATTAGCCAAAAGTAAGTTTTTTCATCAGCATTGCTAGCTGCCGCTAGGTTCCAAGAGGACCAACCTACCTGTGAATCGATCTGTGGTGGGTTCAGGACCAACCCGTTGACCAGGAAAATCTCTGCCCAAAAGATAGCGAATAAACGAAGTCTTTCCCACACTGTACTGTCCTACAAGAAGGACCTGAGGTTTGGCTTCGATTAAAAAAGCAAGGCCCGTCGTGAGTGAGTCGAGAGTTGGATAGGTAAAAATGCTACCCCAGCTATCCTCATCAGTTTTTTAGACTCACAATCGAATTCCACATCGGTGAGCAAAGGACTGTCGTAAAAGTAATCGTATCGATACTTCTTCTCCACGGGGAGCACCGATTTGCGGTAGAGCTTCTTCAGGTGAGCCGCGATATTGGCCGTTCGATTCGCAATGTCATCGGCACCATCGCTACCAGCGCCTCCAACACCACCGCCGCCGCCACCACCACCTGACGGGTAGGTGGTAAAATCGGAATTGTACGTCGTCGGTTCCGTTGCCCAATCTGTCATTGTGCCTCCTACAATTGACTAACTTGGTTCTTCTTATCCTTTCTTGCTTGTTGATTGCTCTTTCGTCCTTTGTCACCATTGCCTGCCAAGATCCATCCACAGAAACGCGCGTGCACTCAACGGATCGTTTCTGTTAGCCAGCAGTCGGCAAAGATATCCAGTGGGACTGGTGCAGGGACCGGTTGGAGGGATTGAATCCATCGTTCGGATAGCATAGAGTTACCTAACAATGTATTACAGTCAGCCCTCTCTCTTATTTATGAGGGGGTATCCTGGACTTTGATAAATATAATGGAGGGCATAAATATAAGCGTTTTCTAGGGCCTTATTTGCTAGTAAAGTACGAATCATGTTGGTCTAGGTCGGATTGGAGCCTTTGGTATGGTTTGCGTGAAATTGTTTGGCAGCTCACAAGAATTGTTTTTGTCTGGTCAAAACCATCCTTCCAAAAATGCACGTAAGCAACCAGGGCTTGGGCTGGCACCGACGAGACAGCCTCTGAGAGGTGCGTGCAGAGGTACCGCAGAGGTGCGAGGAATCCCACGTCCATTGGATCTATATCGGCATTTTACATGCCATCTCGGTCAAATTGAAACGGTTGGAATGGATTGTGCGACGTTGTCCGGCTGCTCGAAAGATTTGTTGCTGCAGTCACGGTCACTCATGACTGCAGTCACGGTCACTCATGACTGGGGGGGGATCTCGAGATTTAATAAATATAATAGAGGGAATAAATAAGAGATTATAAATAAGAGCGAGGGCTGACTGTAATACTGGTATTCTTCAAACTGGTTAGCAATGCTAAATGGTATACCGGTAGTCATGCCCAGGAGTATGCAATGAGGGACTAGCTAGCTAAAAGAAAGACACCACCCCCTTATCCAAATCTGAATGAATCAGCTATGAGGGAATACCGCAGACAAGGAATGCTCGCATTCCTTGCACTATTAGTAAATACTAGTCAACAATGATTCTGAAAGATGGAGTGAATAAGTGACAAGAGTTGCCTCCCAAGCAAAGGAAGTCGGCCTTGGTGCTGGTCTCGCACCATCCGGAAGACCTCGATTCCGTGGTCATGGTCTTGTGCCATCCTGACTTCTTGCTAGAGCCCACCGCATCCTGGGTTGACCAAAATCCATCAATCTTACCCGTGACGGACCATCAACCTCGTAAAGCAAGGATTCGATTCTATTCAGCTACGTCCTCAGCACCCATCAAATGTCCTGGGTTTCTGATCCCTTCCGCTGACCACCTCATGTAGAATAACCATCTGCGGTGCTTCTGTAGCGTCATAGTATTGTTTTAACGTTATAAATAGTTTTAAAATCTCCGTTTTTCTCTTGTGGAAGCAGGAAACTGGAAGAATGATTTATTTGTTTGTGTGTGCGGTTGGGAATCAATCAAGTAAGGAAACAAGTTGTGAAATGAAAATAGATGCAATTCATTCGTCTCTATCAAAAAATTACACCATGGAGTCTTGGGGAGGAGAGGCGGAAGAAGACGAAGACTCGGTACCTGCGACGGATTCGAGATCAAAGTTGCAGAGAGGACAACGAGTGTGACCGGTGGTCCAGGAAGAGACACAATCGTCGTGGTATATGTGTGCGCAGGGAAGTCGGACCAATTTTTCTCCGTGTTCGTATTCCCCTAGGCAAATGGAGCAGTGGGGACCATCTTCTTCCAATCCCTTGGCATGTTCTTCCTGCGCTACACTCCCGTAATCGGCCGCTCCCTTGAGCGGAACGGCCATTCCGTCTTCCATGCCTTCTTTAAAGGCAAAGTGTTCCCATTTGGACTTGGCATCGTCACTAACGCCACTACTTGTGTTATTGTTCGGTCCATCGGGATGTCCGTATCCTCCCATTTGCATTTGTCGCTGGGATTCCATCATGGCAAGTGCGAGCTGCGCTTGGAAGGACAAGAATCGCAGGTCGTTTCGATCAATTTCGGTCGTATTAGGATCAGCGTTTTCGAGGTAGGAGCGGATGCGTTCATCGAGGGCTTCTTCGCGTTCTCGGTTGTGTCGAATCAAGCGAGCGGTCCAGGATGTTCCAAAGAGACAGAGCAACATGACAAAGAAATCGCCCGACTGGAGCGCTTCGACCCACAATCGAAAGAGGACAAAGACCGCCAACAAGACGCAAGCGCTGGTGCGGCGTCGCGCCAATTCACGCTCTTCCTCTAATTCCGTCAGTGTGACAGTTCCGCCTCGGGTCGATAAACGAGGGATGGTAGCGGTCAGTTGTGCCGCGGCATCCTCGTCATCGTCCTCTTCGTTGTTGTGGTTGTCCATGACACCCGAGTCGTCTTCATCGGTTGCAGCGGTGCCCATTTCCTCGTCCTCGTCGTCGCTGGCGACAGTCTCCACAATCACGCTGCTGCTATTGTTGTTGTTGGTGGTGGTCTCTTCGTCATCGCTCACACGAGACGCGGAGGCTTCGTCTGTCGGAAGTCGCTCATGTCTCGCTCCAAAGGAGAAGAGGCTGCTGATTGCGGTCGCCATGGTGAATATCTATGTATGATAGTATGATAAGGTTCCGTAAGTGGAAATTCTTCTGGTGTCGAAGGATCTGGTGTAGTTATTTCGATTGTAGGTATTGTAGTGGGCGAATGGATAATGACAAGAATTAACAAGAATTAACCTGTACAACAACAGTTTGCCACTGTTCGTTTCGATTCCTTGACAAGCTTGATGAAGAAACGATTGACCTGATTGCTCCAGCAGTATTGGATGCTCAAGGAAGACTTGGGAATCAATGTGGGCGTGCTTGATAATATATAATAACGAAGGAAGTGGCATGCAGAGTGAGTCGAGTCGAGTCGAGTCGAGTCGAGTCGAGTGATGCAGCCCAAGTGCTGGCACCGAAAAGTCAGTCATTCACATGGCTGTTTGGTCTTGAAAAAGGAAATCCCTCATCTTCCCTAAATTTTACCCTTGCTCTCGACAAAGTAGTCTTGGAACGGAAAAAGCCAGCGAAACGGCCTACTTTTATCTGCAGTTGGGTCAAGGTTTCAGGTGCGTTGACCGGACGGCATTGGAGCCGTCATGGGACAACGAGTACAGGTACCGGTACAGGTACCAGCTACTAGCTAGCCAGTAGTACCAGTTGTACCAGGTACCAGGATTTGAGCTGCATCGTAGCTATCGGTAGCTTGTTACTGTAGAGAGATTGCCGACAAGTCTCGAGATTGCAGACCAGACGAGTGAAGGCAACGCTTTCATAGTGCAATGCTCATTGAAAGCCTGCTTGATTAATACGGCTACTACAGTAGTAGCTACCGGTAGTGGTGGTAAATTTGGTAGCTCCAAAAGATGCCCAACATCTAACATCCAGCAGTAAAATGCCAGTCGGTGGGTAGCATGGACACTGCCAAAGCATCCAAGCTTGGACTGTGTTGATATCAGCCAGCTACCAAGTACTAGCTAGCTAGAGTAGCTACAGCTAGCTACGAAGGAGATGTTCGGGCCTGGAAAAGCATCGGTTTGAGCGGTGCTCTCTCAAAAGGCTTGCAGAGAACCCGTGCCCTCTGGTACAATTCTACGAACAAGATCTTATGGTTGGCACAAATCCAATAGATGAGCTTTGGGGTATCTTTCCTGGTTCAAAGATCTTGAGAAGGCCAACCGAAGCTCCCACAATTGGAGTCTGCAGACAACTTTAGAAAGACGAAATTAATCAAGAGACCATGAAGATCGCCATCCTTGCCAGCCTTCTTGCTACGGCATCTGCCTTTGTGCCTTCCAGCACTGTTTCTCGTAGCGATGTAGCCACATCCATGTCTTTTGAGGATCAGCTCGGTGCGCAACCACCCCTTGGATTCTTTGATCCATTGGGTCTTTTGTCAGATGCCGATGAGGAGAAATTCAATCGCCTACGCTACACCGAGATCAAGCACGGTCGTATCTGCATGTTGGCTATCGTGGGTCACATGGTGACTGCATCTGGATCTCGATTGGCTGGGGATATTGACTACTCGGGTACCGCCTTTTCGGACATTCCGGCCGGTCTGGCTGCATTCGATAAAATCCCAGCTGCTGGTGTCTTGCAAGTCATTGCCTTTATCGGATTCCTTGAATTGTCCGTCATGAAAGATATTACTGGAGGAGAATTCGTCGGTGACTTCCGCAATGGGTTCATTGACTTTGGCTGGGACCTTCTTACGCCTGAAGGTTAGTATCCAGCTAGAAAGACCGATAGAAGAGGACGGTCATGGGAGCCTGTACTTTTATTTATTTCTCACATTCCATCCTTCTCATGCATTCGTCGCATCTTTTCTCTTCCGCTTGTAGAGCAAGAACGCAAGCGAGGAATCGAGCTCAACAACGGACGTGCTGCTCAAATGGGAATCTTGGCATTGATGGTTCACGAGAAGTTGGATGGTAATCCGTACATTATCAACGATCTCGTTGGGAAACCCGTCGACTTCAACTAAGTACCGGTACGCTATGGATTACTAAATGGTAGCGAGCTTGAAGGGGTTTGTCAGGAAGCAACAGTACAAAGCCCAGATGGAGCAACGCCGCCTGCTACCAGTACCGATGAGAAGAAAAGAAGAGAATATTTCAAGTTAGTAGTTTGGAAGCAAACCCTTTATTTAATCACAAGCAGTAATTGGGTAGCAAGAGAAAGAGTTTTTAGCAGCTGCAAATAGTTCCAGCGTAGATCTTTAACTTGCTGGAGTCTATTCTTTTGGGCACGCAGAGTCTCAAAGAGATCATTGAGCTACAGTAAATGTAGCAGCTTACCTTCTAGTAGCAGAAGTAACTCTTTATGTCTCCCCTTGAATAACTTCTTGCTTTGGGGCTTGCCCAATTCCGCAACTCGGCCTCCCCGTTGACAGCAACAGGTGCGTTGCCAGAGCTGTTGCTAGCCTATGCCTGCCCTCTGCACCAGACACCTCCAAGGATCGCCATGTTTGCGTCACAAACTTTTTACCCTGCCACAACCGAGCCCAAAAGGGGCCCGCCACACCGACCACCAATGGCACAGAGTATGGTTGCAAAGTTCTGGAGAATCTTGTCGCGTAAACCCCAATAGCACACGCATCATCAACCGTTCCTTCAACCACAGCGGTACATACACCTCTATGATAGATCAACCACTACTAGAGACTATACCGGTACAGCACAGAAGGGTGGTTCGACAAATCGAGGTTATTTTTACAGTAAAAATCTACTTGTCTATAGCAAAAGAAGGATTCGCTCGGACCAAGCAATCGCCTAGCTAGTGCTTAATGGTAAGCTCCTGCGGGAAGGAGAGAGACACCAAGCTTCTCGTGAACCATAAGGCCAAGGATTCCCATCTGTGCGGCACGTCCCTGGTTCAATTCAATGGCACGCTTCTTGAGCTTGGTCTCCTCGTCGAAGGAGTCCCATCCGTAGTCAATGTATCCATTGCGAAGGTCACCAACGAATTCGTTTCCAGTTCCTTCAATGTTCCTCATGACACCGAATTCAAGGGCACCAATGAAGGCAACAATTTGAAGAAGTCCTCCGGTGGGCATGGCTCCAAGGGCCTCAAGTCCGGGGGGGACATCAGTGAACTTGGTTCCATCATAAGCGATGTCACCAGGAAGACGGACACCGGCCTCAGTGAGAAGGTATCCAACAACGGCAAGCATACAAATACGTCCGTGCTTGATCTCAACATATCGGAGACGGTCGAACTTGGCTTGGTCACCGTCAGTGACCAAACCAAGAGGATCAAAGAATCCCAAGGGCTTTTGGGCTCCGAGTTCGTTTTCGAAGGCGTTCAAAGCAGTGCTGGTGGCAGCCTGCTTGGCAGGTGCGAAAGCAGCGGCGGAAGCCAAAAGGGAAGCAAGGATAGCGATCTTCATTTTGATATTTAGAATTGTAGATTGACAAGATTGTGATGAAGAGGGTGGACGTGATGGAGACGACGATGGGATGGGCTCAAAAGCCACGCAGACGCAGAACGCATTTGTTTTTTGCCAAGAACACGTTGAAGGATCGGCAGTTCTGCGCTACGGCAAGTTTGTACTGCGATCTACGGGCAAGTTGAAGCAAGCTTCCCAGTCAAAGTAACCCGTTGGTTGAAGCAAAGCTTTTGGTCAGCTAAATCAAGTGGATCTTGTGAATTACGTGACTTAAAGGAATCACGAACATGACAAAAGTGAGAAGCCGAAACAAATGATGTGCCAACCGAGAAAGATCTCGGGGCGACCATGGCGATCATTGAGCATGCATGGCGGTTGCTTGACAGCTTGGCTAGCCAACCATCAAAGTCGGATCAGGTCTTAGCAACTCTTGGGGAAGGAGCCAAACTACGCCTTCAGAAGAAATAGTATCAACACTGCTTCAATTACTGTAATTGACCATGTTTCGTGGTAGCATTCGCAAAGTTGAAAAGCTCCTTTCCACTGCAAGGATCAACGCGGGAAGACATCCCGTATGTTGTATTTCTGGCCTGCGGCACGGCCATTCTTTGGCCAACGAAGAGGAACAGGAAATTCTGTCGCTTCCTGCTCAGTACTTGCGAGCCATGGATGCCTCAGAATTTGATCCTTCGACGTTTCAACGCAATAATGTACGCTACGACCCTCAAAATGGAAAACCAAGTCTCAATGATGGCCATTATCAAAGTGCTTCTGGCAAAAGCCGAAACAACATTATTGTCAAGTGCTCCTTCGATCCCAAGGCCGATTGTTATCACATTATCTGGGAGGATGGGCTCCAATCTCGCTTTTCCAATCAGTGGGTCAAAGGAGAGCTCTCCAAGTATTTTGGAGGTAGCAGAAACACAGACACGGGCTTGGATCAGAAAATATTGTGGTCAGATCTGAACGAAAGCTCTGTGAGAAGTTCAGATATGACACTTGGTTTCCGAGATGTTGTTCAATCCGATCAAGGGATGAGTGCTGCTCTAAAGGCTCTCTACCAGTATGGAATTCTCTTGGTTACCCAAACACCCACAGACGATGATGGTGCAGGTGTAGCTGCCCTCGCTGCTGCTCTGGGAGGTGGCTCCATGAAAAATGACAACCCGACCTCGTTGTTACCCTCGTATCGCAACAATCCAAAAGAATGTGGGATTGCGTTTCCCAATGGAACCGATGGTCCCTTACGGACGTTGTATGGAACTGTGTGGGCAACTTCAACGTCCTTTCAAGGAGACGGCGCCAGCGTAGCGGACTCGGCATACGGGCAAGAAGGATTGCCACTCCACACGGATATGACATACCACCAAGATCCTCCTGGGTTGCAGATCTTTACCATGGTCCAGCCAGCATTGAAAGGTGGCGAAAGTGTTTTTGCGGATGGTTTTGCCATTGCGGAAAACCTGAGAATCAATCATCCCGAGGCGTTTTCTACATTAAGTCAAACTCCTCGTCGGTATCGGTGTATTGATCCTACTACGGGATGGAACTTGGAAGCCCATGGTCCAGTCATTGTGCTTCGGAACAATCAGATTGTGGGGATCCGCCATAATGATCTTGATAGACTTCCTGATCTTCCACCCCCCAACAGAACCGATGATGATGAAGTCGAAGCCTTCTACAATTCGCTGACTGAAGCGCATCGAGCATGGGATGACATGATATCCATGGATAAATATCGATTAGTCGTGGCTCTGAAGCCAGGAGATACGATGGTGGTTGCGAATCATGTGAGTACTTCTACTGTCACAAGTCATTGTGCATATTGAATCTGTGTCGATTCGATTTGGCTTTCAACCTGCTCACGCCTGTATTTTCCCGCTGGTGTCTGCACCCAGCGATGTTTCCATGGAAGATACAGTTTCGAGACGAATGAGTCGACCCCCAGAGCAGTCATCGGGTGCTACATGAGGTAAATTAGTGGATCTGCTGTTTCGTTGTGCATCAGTTTTCTTTGGCCTTTCACTCACCTTGCTATCTAACATTGATGTATTGCAGTCAAGACGAACTCAACTCTCGCTTTCGGCAAGAGGGCTTTGTTGTTCCCTGAGCGGCGGCCAGGTTTGGATCACAGAAAAGCCTTATAGGTAGAGAGACTACCGTAGCTAGAGGCCCCTTTCACCGTCCTCATTCATGATTTGACATAGAAGCAGGTTCAGATACCGATACATGTATTTTCCCTTCTTGTGAGCAGCAAAAGCACCAACTCGACTCTACTCGTTTAAAAATTACTAGAAAACATATCCGTAGAGACGAGAAGTCTTTGGGTCATGCTGGAACCTGTAACATATCCTGCTTCATTGGCAAGCAGATCCTCCGTACGGAACATCGTCCAAGGTGCAGAGTCTACTGGGTACCTTGACACAAATGTTCCCCATCCCTGCAACCGGTGCCTTGTCTCACCAAAGGACTGTGGTGGTACTTTGGCAGAAGGGACATCAGTCTACAGTTGCGAGCTACCGTACCGGTTCAGAACAGTGTCTGCTATAGTGGGCACAGTTTACCTTGCGCACATGCTCCCGGTCCTGAATGAATAGAGAGAGAAGGTAACACTCCCAAATTTCACCAGCCAATGAGTGGGACAAAGCAAGGTCTCAACCAAGTCGGATATGGATAGGCCAGCAGGGTGAGCAAACACACACACACACACACACACACTGCCGAGTGTATTGCTCAAATTGGACACGTCTTGGCAGGCTCCCGAACTACAGCGCTCGCAAGTCGTTGGCCATGGCTTGGATGAAGTCTTTGCAGGTTTGGACAGTGCAAAGGAAACCGCTGGAGAGAGAAGTCCGCAAGGAACACAAGAGGAGTGACAGTCCACTGCGACCAGACAAATTCAAACTGCATAGCCCTGGCTAGCTAGCCGTCTGAAGGATGGGGAATCAGCTGGCGCAGGTTTGGATCCATGAATCTGTTGATCATCGTGGCGTGGATAGGGAGTGCAACTTGTGTCATTCTCCAATACTAGTGACCAACAGTCAGGTAGCGACGGAGTCACTCATCTCTCCAAGGCTTGGAAGCAACCCATGTTCCTTCCCCGTCTTGGTATGCATCATTGCTGAAAGCAGTGTATCCATTGATAGGTACCTAAAACTGGTAAGGCGCACCACTGGTCTGAACATTGTCAGAACAGGCAGGTACAAGTGAGGCGCCAGATGCCACATGCAAGATGCCAGAGATCAGCGATGTCTGCCTTGGTAAAGATTCCAGGCTCCTCTCTTGCATAGTAGAAATCCAGGACATGTGCCTTTCAACACAGCTTGTACCGCACCGTGAGGAAAAGGACCGGCATGCAGTCTTCCATTCGAGGACGGAGTTTGCGTCTGTGGGTGAAAGCCCGTTGAGCTATGTTGCACCTCATGCGGCATTTTACCCGACAGTGTCTTGCGGTCTGGCCGTCACCGCAACACGCGTCAACGAGGTTGCGACGGGTGTTAGGAAAAGCACTCGATGCCCCAAATCTCACCAGCCAATGAAGTGCATGACACTGGTATAATATTGGCATCTTCTGGGTAACAAGCAAGGGTCCTGCTCTGATTTTGAACAGCCTAGGAGGGGTATCGCTCTACTGAGAAGGCAGTCAGTCAGACAGAGAAATGGTAGGTCGGACGACGAGGTCCAACAGCAGTCCGACGGGTCATGGTGGCGGCCACAGGAGAAACAACAACAGCAGCAATGGTGACGACGGAGGAGACGACAATTTCAAATATGAATCTCTCATAGGGGGAAGCAGTGGGTCGCCTGGGGAAGGAGATGGGCAACAGAATGGGTCGTCAAATGCAGCGGAAGCGCTCTCCAATCGATTGATCACTTTTCGAGACTGGTTGGTGGATGACGCTGGTGCAACTGTCCATCCATCAATTTGCATTGTCAACGGGGAAGCAACCGATGGAACTAAGAACGCCCCAGTTCTGGCATTTGGACCTCCTCCAGGGAGCCAGAACTCTCTCAACAAAAAATCTAATCCTGCCAATGGCCGCACTGGGCTTGTGGACAGTGAGCTCGATAGAGCACTCTATGACCGCACCATGGGATGTTGTGTAAGGACGACCAAAGAAATTAAAAAAGATGAAGTCATCATTACCATGCCACGATCCGCTATGGTGACTCCCGACTTGGTAGCAGCAAGTGACGCTGGAAAGGCAGTCCTTGCCTGCTGTCAACGTCCTTCAGGGAAAGCTTCTACCCATGGGTTTTGGGATGCCTTTGAAAATACTACAATATGCGAACAGAAATACACCCAGAAAGCCCTACGAAACGCTGGACCTGCACTGCTTGTTAAGATTCTTAATGAAAGAAAAAGGGCAGTCAATGCTTACTCAAAAGCAAAGGAGGTCACTGATGCGAACTCAACCTACAAACTGGCTGCCTTTGGGTCAGTGTCCACTCGCGCACCAGTGTTGGCATTTCTCATTCACCAGCGGTTCTCCAATCATCTGTCGCCACCAGTAGCATCGGAATCGGACACTATCAAAAAGGAGCTAGGGAAAGCAAAAAGCAGTAGCGATGGCAATGCCTTGTCCAGTGCAAAGGACGTTATTGCGCCACCCAATGCTCCCGCTACGTTTGCCCCCTATGTTCGGACACTCCCGTCGGCTCTCTCGCTGCCGCTTTCTTGGAAGCGAAATGAGCTCGCCTTTCTTTCCGGGTGCATTGCGGGGACAGCCCCATTGCTAGAAGTGACTGCCAGAACTTGTCAATTAGCAGCCGAGTTTGTGGCGCTACTAGAGTCCGGGATACTACACAGGTTCCCAGCAACATTTCCTCATGGACTCGTCACCTGGGAAAGATGGGTGTGGGCCGCTTCTTGCGTGCAATCTCGCATGCTACCCGCAACATGCTATTTAAACAAAGGAGACCAGAGTGCATCCTTCCATAGGCCGACAAACAAAAAGGAGTTCCAATCACCACCGGCGATCTGGGACGAGCTGGGAGTCATGATACCGCTTCTAGATATGCTCAATCACGAGTCAGAGGCACATCAGGTTACCTGGGAGCCTTGTGTTCCTTCCACTAAGGGCATGAACGGCTCAAACGATATGGACATTGACAACGATGCCCACCCGCCGCAGGCTGTGCTTCATTCTCGTGTGAGAAAGGGGTCCCAGGTTTACTGTGCCTATGGCGCCCTCAGCAACGACAAACTACTAATTCAATATGGCTTTGCGCAGCTAGGCAATCCTCTTGACAGGGTTCGCCTTGGCTGGGGCTTGGCAGATGCCGTCGGAAACATTGCTCAACCGGCAGATTACGAATCTCCGTTCGAGAACGACGCCAAAGCAGCACAACTTCCTTATGGCGTGTATGATACCGCGGACCAGGGCGCTATCAAAGCATGGTGGACCGAGGACCGCCTAGCTTTGTTGGAACGGGAGGCTTTTAAGCAAGCCGCGGAATCATTCTCGTCGCTAAGAAACGGCAAAAAGATGATGGCTAGTGCTTACTGTGACGGGCGTTTTCACCCAATCCTACTGACAGTTGCAACAGTTGCAACAATGCCACCTTCCGATGTTGAAAAGAATGTGAAAGGAAAGCATTCAATTGAATTGAGCAAGACCCATCAAAGGATATTGCGAAACTACCTCATTTACACTTTTGCTCGCAAGTTGGAAAAACTTCTTGGCAAGGTTCAAGAAGGGCTAAAGGCCCATTTTGCCAAGTTGAACTTGTGGACGAAAGTTACGCAAGGTGGGCTACGTTATAACTTAGATGAAACGGGCAGCGCTGATTCCGAATACACTGGTTGGCAAACGTTCTTTGACCAGCATGCTTACGCAACAACACTGGAAGCAGAGAGCCGATACTACGCCTTGGGTGCGGATACATGTGCCCTGGCATTGTTTGACGGCCAGTTGCGTTCTCTGCAATCGTCACTTGACGCCCTTGAGACGGAAGAAAAGGTTGCATCGAGCGCATTGCAACAACTGAAAGAGCTAGACTTCAAAATGTCGACGAAAGAAGACATCAATCCTGATGCAGCGGGCAAAGTTAAGCCCAAAGTGGAAGAGACGAAGTCCACTTCAAATGGCGCACAAGTTAAAAAAGAGCCTGCTCCCACGCCTATGAAAAATGAAGAAGTAAAATTGAAAACAAAAGGAAAGAACGAAGAGGAAGAAGAAAAGCCAGCCGCCGACAAACCAATCGTCAAAGCTGAAGAGGATCCGCCAAAGGACAACCCGAGTGCCGACGGCGACGGCAAGGAGGAGAAGGATTCTCGAGAGAAAGAAAAAGATGCCAAGCCAAAGGCGGGAAATGATGACGGACAAAAGAAGAAAGAAGAGCCAAAGAAGTCCTCGCCATCGAAAAGTAGCCGACGACGAAACAAAAGGAAGAATGCAGCCGCCGCCAGCACCACCCCCACCAACAACAACCAAATGGACCGTCCTCCAGCAATAAAGCTGCATATTGGGAACTTGGCCTACTCAACAACTCCATCAACACTATTCGATTTCTTCGCTGCAATGTGCGGCCGCGAGAGTGTCTTGGAATGCCATATCCCCACAGAGCGCGACACAGGCCGGTCGCGAGGCTTTGGGTTTGTTACGCTACCGGAACCGATTGCACGAAACATCTTAAAGTCGGGCAAAAAGTATGAGGTTGACGGAAGGCCTCTGAAGATCGCAGAGAGCAACTCCGCCGGTTCAGGCAAGACCGCGCGACTTCCCTTGCCACCTCCCATGGCTTCGGGAGAACGGTGCGGCACTTGTGGCTATCGACCGAAATACTGCGTTTGCCGCATACCCAACATTCCTGGCTTCGGCGGAGGGCCACCCCCTCCTCCTCCACCACCCCCACCCCCTCACATGCATCCGCCCCACGGCCCGCCGATGGATATGGTCGAGTATGGACGTGATTACGACTATTATGGAGGCCGCCGATTTAGAGATGAACGCTTCGGCCACAACAATTCGCCTTACGATCGACCAAGACCAGGAGATCGTGAAAGGCCACCGTACGGTAGGGAGCCTGATCGCGATCCGTGGGGCCACCGACACGGCAGGAGCCGTTCGCGTAGCCATGACAGGGGCGAGGATCGCATGCGCGAGAGGAGTAGACGCGACGGAGGAAAAGGGCGGGATAGGTCGCGATCTAGATCGAGAAGCCGGTCACCTCGTGGCCGCAGGGGCCGAGATCGCGACTCTGACAGACGTTGGGGACACCGCCGTAGCAGCAGTCGTAGCCGTAGCTACAGCAGCAGCCGAAGCCGCAGTCGAAGCCCACACGGCAATCGCGACCACGAATCCTTGGGTTCGAACCGCAAAGACAAGAAGCCAGACGGCGCCAGCGGTAACAATGATGAAAGGGGTGGTGCGAATGCATCATCATCTGGAAACAACAAACCGCGTGAGAACCGAAAGCGGGGACACACTGGTAGTCGAGGTGGTGGTCGGAAAAAGAAAAAGAGCAAGCGACGATCCGCACGCAGTCGAAGCCGGAGCAGGAGCCGGTCTCCTAGTCCAAGGGGATAGACGAAATTCATTGCTGTCATTTGTGTACTAGTAGTTTAGATAATCCTCTACCTTGCGCAAAGTTTTTGTGTTGGGGAAGCTAATAATTTTTACTTATTATTCAACGTTGTTCTTGCTATCGTGAAGAGTGCTAATAGGATCTTCTTTCTTCTCTATTGCTTCGTAGCGGCTGCAAGCATCGAGGCTACCCGGTACACTGCAATCTAGCTTTTAGAGTAGGGAAGTATCAAGTAGTCTACCTATTCAATCGCGAATACTACGGTACGGTGTCTACCTGTCACTTCATGCAACCCTATCGGTAGCTAGTCGAGGCTTGCGCTTTGTTGTAAAAACCCGGCGAACTCAGTGCAAGCCGAAGTGGGAGCAGCGGTAGATTGCTTATCTGATCTGCCTCTTATTTCTTGTTCTTGTTGAAATCCCCAATGGTATAGCTTCCATATTCTTGGGTAGGATCGTAGAGTTCCCATCGACTGGCTGGAAATATGTGTTTGTTGCGGTCGTACCACCTGCGTTCGACTACCTTACCGGGATGGGATTCGTCCTTTTCTACTCTGGAATCAATAGCCCCAACACGGACGTCTTCATGTACGTCAAAGTGGAAGAGCGGACCCGATTTGCCTCTTGCTTTTGTAGCAATCAAGTCATAAAAGGTCAAATCCTGTGGAATGATCAAATCCTCCTTGACATACAAGAGTGCATCGGCTCCAACACTGCCAAGTTCTTTGAACTCCGGCGCCAATTTGGTTCGAACGAGCTCGAGGAAATCTCCAATGGAATCTCCCTTTTGACAAACCACGGATCTTCGATGTCCCGATCCGTCCCAGTAAGAATAAGTGATTTCCAGCTGCTCCTGCTGCATCTTTGCTTGTTCGGCCTTCCATTCCTTTGCTAGCTTTGCACGGGCTTGTTTGACTTGCAAATCACGGGCTTTGTCGGGTAAGAACGAAGTATCCACCGCGGGATCTTTTTTAGATTTGGAAGGAGCCGAAGAATCGTCCAAAGCGGCTTCCACCAGTGCCGCTTCTTCCTCGTCACCGGCAAATGACAACGTACTGAGTAGTTCTTTTTGGCTTTGGTTTTTTTTCTTCTTTTCTTTTTTGGAAGTCTTTTTCTTTTTCATCGCCGGTTCCAGCTCTTCGTCTGGATTTTGTTCCAAGAAGGCTTTCTTCTTGCTTCGGCTTCTTGTGCTGCTGCTATAGACTTGAATTCCGCAGCCGTGACCAACCCAACCGTCTTTTGCTTGAAGGAAGCATCCGACACACTGGTAGTGCCCGATGCAAATTTGCCATCGATTGTTGTCGTCTTGTTCTTGCGGGAAATTTCCAATTTGCGTTGTTCAAACTCTTCTTGCTCCTTCTTGCGTTTCTTCTCCAACATGGCGGCTCGACTGCCCGCTACATTGCCCTCCACCGTGTTGATGCCCGAATCGGGTCGCTTGAAATTTGCCGAAAAATCGCCCATCTTTAATCCCCCTGAATTGCTAGCTTCACTGTACGATAGTTATCTTATTAGTACCGGTATTTGTGGGCTTGAGGGTTTCCGAGAGACAAACGCCTTTGTGGTCTTCCTTTGCGGCAAGCAAGTGTGGGGGTCGATCGATTTGTGTGGCTCTCCCTCTCGATCGCAATCCCTGTCCAAGGTCCGAAATCTGAAAGGGTAACGTTTTCGAGGCGACCCCTTCTCTTGTTCCTGGGTGACTTGCTACTGGGAACCCTAACCCTCTCCTCTGGTACTGCAGCCCTGTGGGGCTCCCCCTGGGTTTCCGGCAAACATTCCCAAAACATGCCTCCTCTAACTGCCAGTACTAATAGGGACTGGCCTGAGCAGCTCAAATCAGTCCCTAGTTACCGGTTGGCTCCTTTGCCGCCATGCCTGGCTCTGAGAGCATGGCCCCCCCCTCCCCCCCCCGCTGACAGTAACAAAATAAGTGCACCGGAGAGCATTCAAAAATGAACCACCAGGCCTGTTGTTGCTGCCATGGTGGCATGGTAGTGCTGCTGCCATCATAGTGTCTTTATTGAGATAATTAACCAAGCTTTCTTGCTGTCATCCATAGTATTAGTAGAAGATGAGTGGTCTTCCTGATCTTGCCAGAGCTAGGGAAGAAAACGCTGCTGCTAGCGAGCTAACGGATAGTATCCCCCAAATTCTGGTTGACGACAATGGCGACCCAATCAATGAGGGAGACGATGCTGATGAAATCCCACAGCCAGAGCTGACTGATGGCAGGGGCCAAGCAAATTCAAAACCGAAGTATCAGAAGAAGTCGGGCTTCAAAAAGCCAAAGATGGTTGATTTGTACGCTGGCATGAGACAGGCAGATATATGTACTAAGTCCACGGAGGATTTCTTTGGTCCAATCTGGCCTCGATGGCACTTCTTTTGTGAATCGATAGTCTCGAATAGGGAACCATGGGAAGTCAAATTTGGCTTGCAGCTGTACGACCAGCGGAAACTGACAGATATTCAAAACTCCAACCTGTATGACAAGGAACTACCGGTGCAATTCTTCCAGTGGCTTATGGAAGAATGTGGTGGCTGCAAATCAGTCATGGCTAAAGCAAAGACCTTTCTCAATACTAATATAAAATGCGAGCATTACTGCCGCCTAGTCGAAGCTGGGTTTGCTGGTATTCTGGAGCAGATCAAAGTTGGCGAGTCACTGTCAATCCAGAACTCTTGCAAAGCAGTACAGAGTCAAGCTGCATCCAGGGTTCTTAATAATTGTGAGGATATACAGGCTCAGCTACAGCAATGGGTGTCCTTGGACCAGATACGAGAGATGGCACTGTCAGCATTCAATCCTAAGGCGGGTGGTCCAGTATCTAAGCTGAAACCCAGCAATGCGATCTATTTTATGTGCAACTATCACACAATGAGTGCCACCACCCAAAGAAGTGAAAGTGTTTTGGTGGACAAAGAATGATTCAACGAGCCTACAAGTTCATGGAAGCTATTGGTCCATCGGGTATTGGAGCATCTCAGATTGTGACTAACAAGGCAAAGCACAACAAAGTCGGGTGGCTATAGTATACTGTAGCCATCCA